GATCACAGACTTCTTTTGCCCCTAGTCACCCTGCAGATTCCTGGACATTTCTGCTTCTGTTATCTCTGCCAGTATTATAACAGCCCAGGAAACAGCCAAGCATATTCAAACCCATCTGAGAGCCAGAGAGACCAGGGGAATAGAATGTCATTCTGTGGGGCTGGGACCTGGCCTCTTCAAGGCCTGCTCTTTCTATTCAGTGATTTTGTTCAAAGATGAAGCAGACAACTGTGGGTTTGCAGCCATGATGGGACCAAGCTCCAGTGGGTCCTTTGTCATTCAGGGTGCCTGGGAAGGGCTGGCTATGTCAAGACAGGTGGGCCAGATCCAGCATCATTTGCAACCCCTGCCCTGGGAGGCGGCTGGCCACTAGGGAGGGATTCAGGGAGCAGAGTTCTGGTGGGATGTGCCTGGCTGGCTGGAAGCTGATGGGCCTTTGGGCTGAAAATGTGGGACTTCCTGCCAGAGCCCCATCTGCGCTTCACAATTCCTCAAATGATCTCGCCAACTCACCACCCTCTTCTTAGAAATAGACTCAGCAGCTGCAGGCTGCTTCAGCACTGCTTTGCCCCAGACAGCCCTGGCCACATTCCCCACCCTTCAGGTCAGTCCAGGCAAGATTCCTCTGCCATAATCCAACAGGGGCCTGCACTGGCTGGTCTCACCACATGTCTAAAATGGAGATAATGAGTCACGAATCACCCAGCTTTAGCAGTCTGTACCGCAAGCTTCTGGTTGCTTTGTTCCAGTGTGTGTTGGGGGGGGGCAGGGGGATGGGGCCTTGCTCAGGCCAGGTCTCCATTTCCTTTTGTTAAGATGCCCCTTCCCTTTTTAATTGACATTTTTATCGAGATAATTGTAAACTGATTCTCTTTTTATTTTTACACCAGCATTACACGCAAACCTCTTCTTTCTCATACCCCTGTCCAATTTTCTATAATGCTCCCCTGATCAAAGTTTCTCCCAAGTGATACATTTTGAGGTAGCCAAAAGCAACAGTGGCTTGGCAAGGGCTTGCTTGCCCCACTGTAAAAACTCTGCAAACTCTTGTCCTCGGGATGTGTGCACAATCTAATGGCGTGTCTCCTGTTCCTTTGGGGAGATAAAAGGGTGTAGGTTTTATCAGTTGGGCTGACTCTGAGAGTGAGGGTGGGTGAATATCTTTCTGTTGCTGGCAGAGGGATCTGGGGGCCAACAGAGGCTCAGGGTCCCTCTGGGGAGGCAGTTTAATCCTCTGGCTCTTGGGGTAGGATAGGGGAGATAGGCATGGGTGGGGGATGCAGGGCATGGCCCAGTGCCCCACACTCAGGGCAGTCTGGCAGGGCTGGGAGGGGGTGGGGGGGGCACTGAGGGTGCTTCTGGCTCTGGCTAAAAGTCATTTTGGAGAAAACCAAACAGGGCCTTCATTGAGTGGGTGAGCTCTGGGCCTCCCTCCTTATCTCTCCTTGTGAGAAGCCGACCTTGCTCTCTAACATGGGGAAGGGGGTGGGAAAGTACAGAAGGATGCATGGGGGTGGGGGGCGTCTGGAGATCATTCAGCCATTGACTCTGAGGTCTTATTTCTCACATGCAGCATCGAGGGACGTCCCTGCTGTCTCCTGGTGGGAACTTCCTGGCACTAGGTGTCTGTCCAGATCAGGTAGTACTCCCTCTGTTATTCATGCTTAGAGGGCTCGGGCATGTTGTGGGTGGCGGACTAGGCGACCCTGTATCCTGGTGGTCCTGGGGGATGAGCAGAGGCTGGAAAGGGCCCACTGACACCAGTATCTTCTCCTAGGAGCTCTGGCTGGGGCATCGCCCTGAGAAGCAGCATGGAGCAACCTAACAGAGAGGGCTACAACCCAGGAAGAAGCCCTCAGGGCCCAGAGGGCAGTGGTACTCCTGCAGGCCAAGATTGTAGTCTGAGAGACCTAGAGCACAACCTGGAGAGGATTCTTCTGGGACCAGATTCTGGGTTGGAGAAGCTTCCTCCAAGCCCTGAGCCCAAGACCCCACCTTTACCCCTGCCCCTGGATCCACCCATGACCTCAGATTTGGGGCAGCCCCAGAAGTTGCCCCTGACAGGCACTGATAAGAAGTACCCTCTGATGAAGCAGCGTGGGTTCTACTCTGACATCCTCAGCCCTGGAAGCTTGGATAAACTTGGGGTAAGTGTGGCAGCCATACCCTACTAAGCCCGAGTCTTCCTTGTAGGTTCCTTTTGCCCGTCCCTTCCTTCCTTCCTTCCTTCCTTCCTTCCTTCCTTCCTTCCTTCCTTCCTTCCTTCCTTCCTTCCTTCCTTCCTTCTTTCCTTCCTTCCTTCCATCTGTTTGTTCACTTATCCATTTATCCACCCATCTATCCAGCCATCCTTTTGTCAGTCTAGCAACTTTTCCTCCCACCCACCCACCCACCTGCTCATCTTTCTGACCATCCATCTCTGTCTTTTCATTCAACAATTCATTTCTGAGCGCCTGCTTTGTGACAGGCCCTGGACTAAGCCCTGGTGACAGTGAGGATGAGACATCTATGTCCCTATTGTCATGGGGCAATGGCTTTGGTGGGGAAGTACCCCCTCACCCCACCCCACCTATGATTGGAGAGAGGTCCTTGGATAGGTGGTGTACTACTGAGATCTATGAGATAGGTATGAGTTTGCTGGGCAAGATAGGGGCTGAGGAGAATGTTCAAGGTAGGGAGAACAGAAGGTACAAAGACTTGAGGTCCCTAACAGAGGCCAGGCCCACATGGAGGAGAAGGGTAAAGATAGGAGGGGAGAGGTGGAGGGCAAGAAGAAGCTGAAGAAGGGGTGTAATTAGGGCAGAGATCACCGAGCCTTAGGAAAGTTTTAGGCAGGGGAGGGGCCAAGGGAGATAGGGCAGGACCCACTGATAGCCACTACGCCAGGGGTCCAGAGTGCCCTTGGGAGTGGAGGAAGACACAGAGACACCTGCTGGCCTGTCCGTACCTCTGGTGTGTGTCTTGTGACTCAGCCCCTGGACACACCTCATGAGTGTCCTCAGAGTGAGGAGGGGAGCTGTGCAGAACCAGAATTGGGTAGGGCCAGGGGTGTCTCAGGTGGCCACAGCTTCTCACCTTCTGTGGCCTGTGAATGGGGAGTTGTGTGAATTCCTCTTCACTGGTTCTTCCCTGTCTCTGAGCCCCTGGGCTGCTCCCTGATGGTCTTTGGGGGATACATCTGGCCTTGGGGGTCCTTCTAGATCCTGCCTATTCTAGGGATGTAGACACTTCCTCAGGGCTGTGGGGTTTGGTTTCAGAAAGTATGTCGTGGTCCCTGCGTGAACCAGGACCTTCTGCGGCAGGCCGACTTGGATAAGTTCACCCCAAAAGGTCAGTGCCCAGGAGGACTGGGTGGGCGGGTGTCTTTAGCCTCTGAAGCTAGGCCTCTGGCCTTAGGGAGATGACCTCCTCTTGGCTGAGGGTCTCAGTTTCCTTCACTGTAAAATGGGACTAACAAGAGGCAAGATGCTTTGCAAGGGCCCAGCTTGCGGTGAGCACTCAGTGAACTACAGGTGCTTGATCATGACTCTTGTGACCAGGGCACTGTGGGGCTGGGGCTGCTGAGGGCTGGACCCCAGTTCTCTCTGCCCGGCTGGGGACAGTAGGGCATTGACCTGTGTATTTCCTGCCTCCTGGGCAACATGGGCTTGGAGGAGGCCAGGATTGTGTCTGAGTTGTTAACCCAGCTCAGGCTCCATCACCTAGAACAGGGTTTGGCACAGGAAGGCGCCCAGGAGATCTTTGCTGAAGGGGGAAGAAGGACCTTCCCATTAGGCTCCGTGGTGAGTCTTGTAAGGCCTGGGGCAGGTCTGTGGAGGAAGGGAGGGCAGTCCGCAGTGACAGAGGGGAGAGGAGGTTGACTCCAGGACAGGCAGTGAGCAGGGGCATGCCCTGAGAGGCAGTGACTGGCAGACTGGACATCCCCTTCAATTGGGCCCAGATGCCCCAGGGTCCCAGCTATCTGTCCCCTGGTCTACCCCTAGGAGAGGCCTGGCTCTGTTCATATTAGTCCTCTTGGGGTCCATGGACCTCTTGGGAGTCTGGGAACCCCCAAAAGTGGCACAGGAAACATCTCACGTATGTGCATTTGTGCAGTGATCTGAGGACCCAGCCAGTTGTGTTCAGCAGTTTCACTAGTATCTGTGGCCCAGAAAATGGTTACAAACCACAAATCAAGGGCTATGGGAGAGCTGGGAATGGTGCTCCTACCATCCATGGTGGGGGCGGGGGCGGGGGTGGGGATGGTCAGCCGCCCTGCGGCCCCACCCACATGAGGAAAAGCGGCCCGAAAGGCCACAGGGTGGGCAGTCAGGGTTCTTTACAGAAGGCTAAGCAGAGGCCTGAGAATCCTGCTTAGGGCTCACAGACTAGCAGAGGTGGGGGCCAGGTATGCTGTCCTCACCCTGGCTCCATCTTGGCTCCTCAGATGCAGGGCCAGGGCGAGAATTTCATGATCCTAGGTGTGGGATGTGTCACAGACCCACAGGCCCTGAAGTGGATGACTAGGGATCTGAAAACTGCCTTCTGGGCCAGCCTTTTTTGGTAGGTGGGGTTCCCCCAGCCCCTCTGGTAAGAGAGGTGACTTAGCTGAAGGTGGATGGCCTCTGCTGAGCCTCTGGAAGCTCCTGTAGAGCCCCAGTGGGTAACCCCAAGGGGCCCTCCTATGGCTGACTGCATCTTGACCTCAGAGGCGTAAGACCCAAGGAGGGGCTCACTAGGGCCCCCTGGGGAGTGCATTGGAGCCGTCACCAAGCTGTCCAGAGCCCACCCAGGCCCTGGGAAAGGGGCTTATCTCCTGAAGCATTTTCCTGCACCCCATTCTTCACCTTAATGGTCTTGGTTTGCCTGGGACTTTCCTTCCCACTTAACACCCTGAGTCCTGGGAAACTGGAATGTCACCCCATTAATGGGTCTCTCTCCACCAGCTCCCCTGGCCTAAGATCTGGAAGGGAAGCCTGTCTAAGGAGGGGTGGCCATTTTGTGACTCTAGGGTCCCTTGGGTCCATGGTGGCAGTGCCGCCCACTCCTACAGAATCCAAGATGCCTTGAGTCTGGAAATGGTTCCAGTGAGTGAATGGTATTCAGACTCCGAGATGCTTAGGAGGGCCTCTGGGCTAGCGATGGCAGGAACTCATCCCAGATGTGCAGGGAGCTATCACCTTGCCTTCCTGTCCAGTTGTAATCCTTGATGGTAGTTTGATTCAACATCTGGCTTGAGCAAAGGCCCCTGGCACCGGGGTCGTGGGCAGCATGGAGAGGGATGGTCAGACGTGCTGGCTCTGGGCAGGGAAAACAGGACTAAAACGAACCTTCTAGAGGCCATTGTCCTCCAGGCTCTCACTCCCTTGGGTGCCTGGTGCCACATCTGGCTTCTCCCTGCCACTGCCCAGCCACAGACCAGCGCTGAGCTTCCTATGTCCCAAAGCATGCACATCTGGTACCTGCCTGGTACTATGTCTTTGGGGTATTGGGCCCCGGCCTGAGCCCCTGCAGCTCCTGCCCCCGCCCCTCTGCAGTCAGAACATTTGAGGTTCCTGAGGACTTTGAGGAGCGCCTGGAGCATCAGCGCATTGGGTCCACCACCAAGCTGCTCACCCAGACTGACTTCCCACTGCAGGCCTACGAGCCCAAGGTGCAGGTGCCCTACCTGGTGCTGCCGGGCCAGTGCCCCCGCAAGATTGAGATTGAGAGGTATGGCTGGGTGTCCTCTGGGAGGTGGCATCTGCCCAACCCAAGGGGTGAGGGACAGTAGGCAACTCGGTGACCATCCTCACAACAGAAGTTACTACGAGGGGTCTGTGTGCAAGTGTTCAAATAAAATCTTCTAGCCCTTTGATGTCTTAATAGGAACAAATTGCTTTCTTTGCTGTGGAATCAGGGAGGATGGCATTTAAGTCAAGGGACTGGAACTGCCAGGCAGGATGGAAGGGCAGTGGGGGCCCAGGACACCATCCCCAGCCATCACAGCACTTCCTGATGAGTCCCAGAGGGGCAGAGGGCCTGCAGAGGTCCCTGGGCCACACCCCTACCGCCTCAACTCCATGAGCCCTTGCTGACACCCATGGAGGCACATCACATGAGCCGAGCTGTCCTGAGATTCCCTCGTCTCCCTCGGCCAGGAGGAAGCGGCTGTACCTGAGTCTGGATATCGAGCAGTTGCTGGCCAGTGAGGGCATCGACTCTGACAAGCTCATGCCCAGGCACCCCGACCCCCACAACCCCCAGACCATCGAGCAAGGTCATGACCCGCTCTTCCCTGTCTATCTCCCACTGAAGGTGAGTCCAGCTTCCATGGAGGGCTGATGGTCAGGGGGTAGGAGTGCAGGACATGAGCTTCAGAGTCAGACACAAAAGGCGATCCCATGATATCACAAGAACTCACTCGTCAAATTGGATAACTGCATAATAGGGGCTGCCTCTGTCCCCGCTCCACTGCCAGGGTTTTCAGGCATTCTGTGCTGGGGCAGGAGGGTCCCCAGGACCCCTGGGATGCTGATTGTCTACTTCTTTCCTGGGAGCTTGGGGAGCCTGTGTATGTGATTTCTGTCCCTACCTGATGCATGGGCATCAAGAAGCAACCCAGCTGGACTGTGGAGTAGTGTACGGGCCTCCCTGACCATTGCTTCTGAGCTCACTAGGACAGGGCGACCTGGGGTGGAGGAGGGCGCCATTGTAGTCCCTTTAGGGTACCAATGGGGAAACTGAGTCCAGGGAGGAGAGAGAGGGAGCATAGCCTGCTCTGGTTTTCACCCGCCTCCCTGCCCTTTCTCTCCATGGACCTGCACATCTCTTGCCTGTTGTTCCTAGTGGGGAAGCAGAGCTGAATCCAGGTGCACATCACCCCACTAAGGATGGTTTCCTGACAACCCAAGTCTCCATTGTTTCTGACTCTGGGTTGGTGCTCAGGAAAATCCAAGGGCCACCTCTTCCCTTGAGTCTGAGCTGGATGATCCTGGGGAGTGGAAAAGAGAGACCATATCCTGCTCTGAGTCCCCAGATACCCCTCTGCCTGCACCTCAGGGTGGCTTGGTTAGATGAGGACCTAAGGTTTCACAGAGCCAGACCCAACAGACCTCTGTGAGCAGCAGGGGATCAGCCATCTGGTCCCTGGTCTTCAGCTCCTGCATCTGGGGAGGAAACTCCTGAGGCACCCCTACCCTCTGGCATGCCCAGATCACTTGGGGCCCGCCAGGAGTGAGCTGTCTCCTCCCAGCGTCCACTGCTTTGTTCCAGGTATTTGACAATGAGGAGTTTGACTGCCGGACTCCCAGTGAGTGGATCAACATGGGATTGGAGCCGGGGTCTCAGAACAGGAAACCTGTCCCTGGAAAAGCCCTCCTGCCCACCGATGACTTCCTGGGGCATGGTGAGCAGTGCTGGTGGGGGCGAGGGGACAGGATTGTGGTCTGCACCATCCTGTCCTGGCAGCCGCATGGCCATGGACTTCTAGGCTGCTCTGGGGGCTCAACTGGAAGATGAGGGCCCTACCTTTTGAGGTCTCCCAGCTAGGATGTAGGTGAACGAGCTAGCCACACAGAAGTAGGAAATGCAGGGACCAGGGATGTCATGGATAGGTGGGCTGGGGAAGGAACAGCTGGATAGTGTGTCCAATATTAAAGAGAAAGTCTTTGTTGGTAACAAAAAATATGCAAACTTACTGGAAATGTTCAAATATGCATAAGGGGCATCATTCAAGCCCTTCTATCCCATCATCCAGAAATCCCTGTTGTTCTAGCTGTAGCTGAGGCCTCTCGGCTTTCATCTCTGCATGGACAACACACACTATCACACGCTTGTTGGCAAACACACAGTCACAAGCACGCTCTGTCGCACACACACCACCCCATGTACTCACACACACATACAGTTGCACTTATAGGCACATTTCATCCCACAAACACACACATGCCTACCATTACTCATGCACAACCACTATCACACCCACACGCACTTCCCTGCACTGATGTCGCACAGATTTGCCACATCTTGCTCTTGTCTGTGTCTACCCCTCCTTTGCCCCAGGTCTGCCCTGGGCTGCAGAAACTCTCTCAGTTTGCTGGTTTGGGGGTCAGTGCCAGGCTGACTTTCCACAGCTGCCACCCTGGCCTGTGTGACTGTTCTCTACGTTGGCATCCTAGGAAGGTCTGGATCGTGAGGTTGGGAGTTGGAGGTCCCCCGTGCAGGACTGAGGGCTGCTCTGCTCCCTGCTCAGTGCTGTGGAGTGGGGAGTGGGCCCAGCGGGCCATCGCCCAGGTGGGAGATAGGACTGTGAGAGCCATGCTGGTTTTAAGATTGCTCAGCTTCCAGGGGGCCCACAGTGAGTCTGCTGTGCAAGCTGTAAGTTTATGTTTCCATTTAAAAACACGTTAATGCTGGAATCAATTTCTCTGAACTAGACAAGAAGCCAGGATGTTCCCTTTACTTTGGACTTAATTACAAAAATAATTTAACTCGATTGTTCCCAGATCTCCAATTCCTGGTGATCAAACCAGAAGGTTTGGGGCTGCATTCACCTTAAACGCACCAGGTAGCAGCCTCCCCCGAAGTGCTTCTGCCTACACCCCGGGCTGGGGCTCCGGAGAACACCGGTGGGAGAGGGCCTCTCTAGGAATGTTTCTGCCAGGGACATCTTTTTTTCTCCTGGGAGCTTCTTGTGACATCTTTTCCTCTAAGTTGAGTTAAGCCAAAATCAGCATTTTCAAAAAGGAAACTAACTGGGAAGAGATGGGAAAAGCAAAACAGAACCAAAACCGGTGAGGTATAAACCACAGCAACCTCCTTTACTCATCTAACTGGTGTCAACCAGGGGGAGAATTTCCTCGGAATTCCGAGCCCTTCTTTCTTTGTCAGCCCAGACTGTAGAACCCATCTGTTTGTTTTAAGCCGCAGTGTATTGAGGCCTCCGCTGGGCACTGTGCCAAGTGTATCATCTATAAAAGTTTATTGAGTATCTACTAGGTACCAGCGTCCATTCTAGGGACAGGAACACAGCTGTGATCAAGACAGGATGAAGTCCCTCCTGTCCTTGGGGAGCTGACAGTAGCATGAGGAGGCTGACTAGAACCAGAGAGGATACACACACAGTGTGACTTTAGACTCTGTGAGAGACAGAGTAACTGGTCAGAGAGTGCCTGGGGCAAAGGCACCATTTTAGGCAGAGATGCTTCTCTGAGGATAAGCCACTGAGCAGGGAACAAGCCAACAACGAGGTGACCTGGGCGAAGTCTGTTCCAGGCAGAGGGCACAGCCAATGCAAAGGCCCTGAGTCAGGAACAAACTCCAAAGTCACAGGAATAGCCAGACATCTGGTATGGCTGGAGAGGAATGAATAAGGGGGGCAGGAAGTGAGCTGGAGAAGCAGGCAAAGGCTTTCAGCCTAGAGAGTAGGTAGGGGGCCCATCTTGACCGTATAGGTCCTGAGACCCGCTTGGAGCCATTGCAGGGCTACAATCTTCTACCCTGCTGTACCTTGTTCTGATGTGAGGGGATCAGCTGCCACGTGCAGCCTGTGGGAAGGACTTCCCTCTGGCCTTGGTTACCTTGAAGGAGTCCAGCTCAGACATGATGAGCTTTATACCCACCTAGATCCTCAATAGGTCTCTGCTTGGGGCTTACCTGCCTCCTGTCCCAACCCTGCTGTCCTTTGTCTCTTTCTGCCCCAATGGAGAGCATGGAGTCATGCAGAGCACAGGGCAGAGAGGCCTGGTCCTTCTGGCTCCTCCTGCCATCAGGGGCTCCCCAGAGGCCAGCTCAGCTGGGAGGAATCAGGCCCCCTGCTCAGCTGGAGCGTGGTGGGAAAGAGACCAGACTAGTGACCACTGAGACTGTTCCCAGTACCTGCTGCCCACATGCAGAGGCCCATCCGTGCCCACAGCAGGGAGCACTAACAGGCTCCCTTCCTGTTTCAGAGGACCCTAAGAGTCAAAAGCTGAAATACAAATGGTGCAATGTTGGCGTCCTGGACTATGACAAGGAGAAGAAGCTATACCTGGTGCACAAGACAAATGATGATGGTTTGGTGCGAGATGACATGGGGAAGCCCATTCTGAATGGAGGGGTCACCACTGAAGGTACCAGCTCTATGCCTCTGCCTCAGATAGACTCCCAGTTCAGGCCGGGCCTGGCTTGTGACTGAGGCCAACCCCTCCCCAGGGCATAGCCAGCTCAGGTCTGAATTTCTCCTTCCTCTGTTTGTCCTGTGGCTGTCTGCCCCCTGATCAGTGAGAACCAGAGGACCTATCACTCAGAGACCCCAGGAAGGGCAAGTTGGCCATTATTTGATATGCCTCCTCTGAGCAGTTGGCAGTGCTGCTTTCAGCATCATGTTAAGAAGGAGCCCGAGGCCCATCAAATAGTGATGTCTGCCCTGGGTGTGACATCTGGGAATGGGCACTTGAACCCCTGTGTAACTCCTTGTCTGTGCACAGCTCTTTACAGTTTACGAAGCACTTTCACATCCATCCATGACAACCTGTGACGTGAGCAGGTCGGGGAGTGTTGTCATACCCATTTTGCAGATATGATGGGGTCACTTGCTCAAGGCTACCACATACCAGCAGCAGATCCAGGCTGGTATCTGGTGCTCCTGCTGAAAGAGCCCAACGGCATGTTCCTTTCTCCCTCCTGCTCAACCCTAGGAAGGCCGCCCCTCCTGATCTGCCAGTACTGGGTGCCAAGGATTCAGCTTCTCTTTTGTGCTGAGGACCCACGTGTGTTCACACAACGTGTGGTCCAGGCCAGCGCCCTGCGCAAGAACACAGAGGCACTGCTGCTATACAACCTGTATGTGGACTGCATGCCCTCTGAGGGCCAGCGGCTTATCAGTGAGCAGAGCCTGAGCAAGATCAAGCAGTGGGCCATGAGCACGCCCCGGATGCGCAAAGGACCCTCGTGAGTTCCCCCCAGACCCCCACACCTGAGCATCACCTCGTCCAGGGAGCTGTCCAGTGGGGAAGTAGTGCTGCCCAGGGAAGGGGGTACTCCCTCCATGCTCATCTATGTGGGGCTATCTTGCCCCTTGCACTATGGACTGCTTGGGCCACAATTTCTTGGTTATCTCCATTATCAATAGGAATTTATCAATTCTTATATACAAGGGGTTATAATCTGTTGCTACCATTTTTTATTTTGATGATCAAATTGTCCCAGATTTGACCAGTGGGAGCCTCTCTGAGTGATTCCTGTGTCCTTTTGATATGTTCTTGTTCTTTGAGCATGTCTTTACCTTCTGGCACAGCAAGAAATTCCAGGCTCATCTTGTACTTTCTCTCAGACCCAGCCCTGAAATCAGCCATTTCTCTGAGGAGACTTGGTTCCTCTTAGTGGAAACCGGTATTTAGAAGCCAAGATTTTGTCATAAGATGTGCTCACTGCTACTGAGAAATCAATGCTTTGAGGCTCTTAGAGCAGCTAAATATGAGATATATATATTATTAATTTATTTTATATTATATCCTTATACTGCATTATGTTATATATAACCTCCATGTACATGTCTATATCTATCTATTACATACCTATCTGTTGATCTGTTAAAAACCATAAGTTCATACTGATACCTTCACATTGACTTCAAACCACAGGCCTCATTCTCACTTATACATATTTGTTATTTCTTTTTCCTAAAAGAAAATTGGCTTTCATTGTTCATAATATATTTACTTATTTGCTCAGTCTAGAACACACAGAAAGTAATTTCAATTGCTAATCCGTACCCTTTGCAGGAATAACTCTAGTAAGTAGACTTTGATATTTGTTTAGTTTTCTTTTTCTCTTTAGCCTGGGGACATATAGTCCAAATACTACATTCAAAAGTTGATTTAGTTTTTCCCACCCACTTCAGTGCGATATATTCATTTGATGAACTGTAGCTTGGTCCATTTATAAATATAAAGAAATATGTATATATATAGAATATATAGGAAATATATGTACTATGTATAACATGTATATTATATATTATAATATATGCATACATAGTTATATATAACATATAATATAATGTATCTATATTATATATAATATGTATATATTAAATATCTAGAGAATATATATACATATCTATATGTTTCTTTCTATATATATAATACCCACATATATAAAATATACTCACTAATGCATATGATCTGTCACTCTTCACCCCTATTCCTTCTGTCCTATTCACATTTCCTATCTTTTCTACCCTATTCCCACCACATGCCAATAGGTAACCAATATCACTAGTTTCTGGCTTTCCTTTCTGTATTTCTTTTTGCACAAATGATATTTTAATATATATTTTCTTATTCCCCCTTCTTACATGAGTAGCAGCACACTATAGATACTCTTTTGCATTTTGCCTTTTTCATTTTCAGTAAGTACATCCTGGGAATCAATCCTTATCAGTGCATTGATGTCCTTCATTCTTTTTTACAGCTGCATAGTAATCTATTGTGTGGGTGTACCGTCTACCATGACTTACTCAACCGTTTTCTCATATATAGGCATTTAGGTAATTTCCAGTATTTTGCAATTACAAACAATGGTACAATGACCTTGTGCATTTGTATATTCATACTGATGGAGGGGTAGCTTTAGGGTAAATTCTGAGAAGTGGAATTGCTGGTCAAAAGATAAGTACATACGTAATTTTGTTAGGTATCACCAAATTTCCTTCCATAATGATTGTATCATTTTGCATGCCCCCTAGCCATATGACAGAGTGCCTGTTTCCTCACAGCTTTGCCAAGAGCATGTTGTTAGATTGTTTAATTTTTTGCCAGTCTGGAGGGTAAGTCTGTAAGTGTTATAAATGAGGTTGGATGTCTTTTCAACCTTTTCATATGATTAAGAGCAATTTTTATATCTTTTTGTGATTTGTCTGTTCATATTTTTTTCTCTTTGAGTTTTGGCTTTTTTCCCTTCTAATTTTAAGAGTTCATTATATAGTAGGGACACTGATCCTTTATCTATGATATATGTTGTAAATATTTTCTCCTCACTTGTCAGTTTTATTTGGACTTTGCTTATGGTAATTTTTGCAATATAACTTTAAAAATACTTATGTAAACAATGTTATTAATTATTTCTTCTATTATATCTGGATTTTGAGTCACAGTTAGAAAGCCTTTCCCTATATCAAGGTTTTCTTCTAGAACTTGTATGGTTTTGTGTTTTTGCCTTTTATATCCTTGATTCATCCTTATGTATGGTGTGTGGTATGGTTCCAATTTTATCTTTTTCCAAATGACTAGCATTTACTAAATTGTTTATTAAATACTCATCAGCCTCTACTGAAACCGCCATCTTTGGCCCAGTGATTTGAGATGCCACCTTTGTCATAACACTGATTTCCGTATGTACTTGGGTCTATTTCTGGAGTTTCTATTCTATTCCATTGTTCTGTTTGTCTGTTTGCATATAACTGGTACTCGTACTACAGTTTCAATTACAGATGTTTTACAGTATGTTTTAATGTCATGTAGGGCCAGGCCCCCTTTGTAGTTTTTCCCTTTTAGTGTTTTCCTGGCTATACTTGCACATTTATTTGTTTTAAATTATATTTTAAAAATTGTGGTTTAACATACATAATACAAAATTCATCTTTTTAACCATTTCTTAGTGTATAGCTCAGTGGCATTAAGTACCTCCACATTGTTGTCCAACCATCACTACCATCCACCCACAGAACTTTGCTCATCACCCCAAAGTGAAACTCTGCACCCTTTGAAATGTAAGATCCCATTCCCCTGTCCACCAGCCCCTGGCAACTGCTACTCCACTTTCTGTCTCTATGACTTTGACCACCATGAGCACCTCACACGAGTTGAATCATTACATTATTTGTCCTTTTGTGACTCCTCCTTTCACTTAGCATAATGTCTTCCAGGTTCATCCATGTCATAGCACATGTCAGGATTCCCTTACTTTTTAAGGCTGAGTAATATTCCATTGTAAGTATATGCCACATTTTGCTTATCCATTCATTTGTTGATGGACACTTGATTGCGTCCCTCTTTTGGCTATTGTGAATAATGCTGCTGTGAACATGGATGTACAGAGATTTCTTCATGTCCCTGCTTTCTGTTCTTTTGAGTATAAACCCCAAAGTGGAAATACTACATCATGTGGTAATTCTATTTGTTGTTGTTTAGTTTATTTCATAATCCTAAACTTAACTCTGTAATCCAGCTAGTCTTGGAGGAGGGGATAAGGAAAACATGAACTCAGAAAACTGCAGTGAGAGCACAAAGATTATAGGCTGTTATGAGCAAATGGGAGAAGGAATGGTCTGGTGGTTAAGATAAAACACAAGTCAAATTTATTAGAGTTATTCATAGTTTGCAATGGTGGGCTGCATGCTGGTCTTGCCATTCTTGGACCCAAAGCACTCCATGGTTTTCACAGTTTTCCTGCCTCCATTTGCCCTGCCAAAGACCACATGCTTACCACCCAACCACTCAGTCTTGGTAGTGTAGATGAAAACTGGGAACAATTTATGTGGGTCCAGAATTTGCCATGGACAAAATGCTAGGACCCATATCCTTTAGGATGATGCTCAGTAGATGACTTGCTGCCAGTGCCACTGTGGCATGTGAAGTCACCACCCTGATACATAAACCCTGGAATAATTCTGTGAGAGTGGGAACCTTTATAACCAAATCCTTTCTCCTCAGTGCTCAGAAAACTGAAGTTTTCTGCTGTCTTTGAAACTTGGTCTGCAAACAGCTTAAAGCAGGCATGGCCCAAGGGCTCGCATCAACAGTGAATATTGAAGAACACTGTGGGGTTGACCACGGTGGGGTGGTGCAGGTTGGTTCTGGGTGACATTGGTGACGTCAGAAAAGCCGTATTTTTAATTTTTTGAAAAACCACTATCCTGTTTTCCGTAGCAGCTGCACAATTTTAAATTCCCACCAGCAGCATGAGGGTTCAAATTTTTCTCTATCTTCACTGATACCTATTATGTTCCGATTTTTTCTCTTGATAATAACCATCTTAATGGGTGTGAAGTGACATCTCGTTGTGATTTCTATTTGTGTTTTTCTAGTGATTAGTGATGCTGAGCATCTTTTCATGTGCTTGTTGGCTTTTGTATATTCCTCTTTGGAGAAATGTCTATTCAAATTATTTGCCTATATTTGAATACAGTTGTTTGTTTTTTGTTGTCGAGTTTTAGGAGTTCTTTATATATTTAGAATATCAGTTCCTTATCAGATACATGATTTGCAGACATTTTTTTCCCATTCCTTGGGTTGCCTTTTTATTCTTTTAATAGCGTCCTTTGTGTAACAAGGACACAAAGTTTTTCATTTTGGTGAAGTCCAATTTGTCTATTTTGGCTTCAAGTATAAGAAATCAGCAAATCCCATCTCATGAAGCTTTCTCCCATGTGTTCTTTTAAGAGTTTTACAGTTTTAGCTCTTACGTTCAGATTTTTTATCTATTTTGAGTTAAATTTTGTATATGGTCTTAGGTAAGGGTCCAACTTCATTGTTCTACATGTGAATATCCAGTTTTCCTAGCACAATGTGTTGAAAAGCCTTCTTTTCCCCATTGAGTGATGTTGGCACCCTTGTTGAAAATCATTTGACTGTGTATGCAATGGTTTATTTCTGGGCTCTATTCTTTTCCATTGGTCTATCAGTCTGTCTTTATGCCAGTATCACACTATTTTGATTACTGTAGGTTTGTAGTAAGTTTTGAAATTGAGAGATATGTCCTCCCACTTTGCTCTTTTTTAAGATTGTTTTGGCTATTTGGGGTCCCTTGAGATTCCATATAATTTGAATGGATTTTTCTATTTCTGCAGAAAAAGTTGTTGGAATTTTAATAGGGATTTTGCATGTCTGTTTTCCTGCGTGAGCTTTAGTATCAACTTGTCTAGCTCTATTTTTTAAAAAGCTTGATAT